ATTAATAAAGGAAGGCGGAGACTCCCTATTGAATGCAATACACGAACTAATAGTGAACTTATGGAATAATAAACAACTGCCACAAGACTGGAGTAATTATCCCACTACATAAAAAAGGAGATCAGCTTCAATGTAAAAACTACCGGGCAATAACGCTACTATTTGCGGCATATAAAATACTGTTAAATATTGTGTATGACCGATTGAAACCATATGCGGAACAAATGGTTGGGGGATATCAATGTGGTTTCTGCAGAAGTCCACAATAGTGAACTTAGTTTAGACACACATCATCTTTTCATTGATTTTGAGAGCATGATAGCATCCATCGAGAATTTCTGATCCATGCACTGAAACAGTTTAATATTCCAACTCAACTCATTGATATAGTAAAAGAAACACTTAAAGTACAAAGCAAAATTCGAATTCAAAACGCACTAACAGATACAATTCATGTGAGAACTGGCCTACGACAGGGAGATGTCCTATCCTGTATTCTATTCAACATCGCATTAGAGAAAATAATTAGAGAGTTAAAAGTCAACACCAGAGGAAAAATAATAACAAAAAGTGTACAAATATTGGCATTTGCAGATGATGTTGATATCATAGCTAGAAACGAGAGAGGAGATGATAGGACCATTTAATACGATAGAAAGAGCGTCACAAAACAGTGGCTTAAACATTAACGAAGCAAAAACCAAATACATGAAGACCAGCAAATCGACAGGCCAAAGAAACCTACAGAATCTGACAATAAGAGACTATAACATCGAAAGCGTGAAAATTTTACACATCTAGGTTCACTAGTTGCCGCAGAAAACAATGTCAGTGAAGAAGTTAAGTGAAGAATACATATCACTTATAAAACAGTAGCGATGTAAGAAGCACATACTGTAGGACATGTAAAACCCTGAAGTAGACCAAACGATCTTAAAAGGCAGGATGAGAGACACGGGAAATGGAAAGATGTATATATACGGAAAAGCTGGAGCATCATCAACACTATATTTGAAAATGTTCTTTACTATTATTATAATTGATATCAATTTCTCTTTCCTTTCGTATTTTAAAAATTTTCCACTTCTTCATATACAAATAATTCCTTTAGAGGTAGAAATATGAAATAATAATTCTTCTACTGCCACCATTGTTTATTTGAAACTTATAAAATTATTGTACGTCACTATGACCTTTATTTAAATGTATTAGTAAGCACAACATTGCACAATCGAAAAACTACGATCAGCAAAATCAAATAATTTGATCAAAGCGTTAAATAAATTATCATTTAAGTTAAACAACAAAAAAATCGACATGATCTATTTACACAAGTTTATATTGTTAATTTGTACAATTAGATGTGTGCCGGGCGAATTTAGTTTTGATTATTCGGATTCACTAGAGAGTGATTTAGATAAAGAGTGGTATTTGTTTAAGGTAGGAAAGTTAACATTTATTTAGATACACTGCTGAGAAAAAACTCGGGAACTTTCATATTTTGAAATGCAGATAATAATCAATGTATGATGTATTCTATAATAATCATGTGATATTCCTCTAGTTATATGATCAATGATCATGTATGGATGACCAGAAACAATATTTAACGAAAGTTTTTATTTTCTTCTGTAGTCTTCTCGATACATTATTCTTGATTGGGTCTAAGGTCTTGACTTATTTGTCTTCTTATTTCTGTATTAACATCTTCTTCTTCAAGTGCCATCTCCGCGGCGGAGGTCGGCAATCAATCATCATAGCTATTCGGACTTTTGAGACAACTTCTCTGAAAAGTTCATTTGATATACATCTGTACCACTCTGTCAGGTTGCGCAGCCATGACATTCTACGCCTCCCTATGCTTCTCTTTCCTTGGATCTTTCCCTGCATAATCAGTTGGAGCAAGGTGTATTTCTCTCCACGTGTAATATACCCGATATATTCTAATTTTCTTGTTTTTTATTGTATTTAAAATTTCCATTTCTTTATTTATCCTTCCCAGAACCTCTTTGTTTGTGACGTGTTCTGTCTACGATATTTTCAAAATTCTTCTGTACACCCACAGTTCGAATGATTCCAGTTTTTTCATTGATGTTTCATTCAAGGTCCAAGATTCCATTCCATAAAATAAAGCCGAAAAAACATTGCACCTCGCCAACCTAAGTCTTAGTTCCAGTTTTAAATCCCTGGTACATAGCACTCTTCTCATTTTGTTGAAATTTCCTCTAGCCTTTTCTATTCTGATTTTGATCTCCTGAATGTAATCATTTGTGGAGTTAATCATTGTTCTCAGATATGCATATTTGCCACTTGTTCGACGTTGGTTCCGTTTATTAGAATATTCTGGTTATTTCTTTGAGTTTTCGATATTCTCATAAATTTCGACTTCTTGACATTCATTGTTAGACCATACTCTTTTCCATACTCTGCTATTCTGGTCACCAGACTCTAAACATCTTCAATGTTTTCGGCTAAGATCACAGTGTCGTCCGCTTATCTAATGTTGTTAATGAGAACTCCATTTACCTTTATTCCAGCTGTTTTCCTTCAAGACCGTCTTTCAGGATCTTTTCGGAATAGGCATTAAAAAGAATTGGCGACAATACGCATCCATGTCTCACTACATATCTAATTTCAATTTCTTCTGACAGCTGTTCGTTAACATAGATGTATTAATATAGAACATAGATGTATGTATGTATAACATAAATGTAGGTATTAACATAGAACTCACTTATTCACAATTTTTTCATTGCTTTATTTATTACTTAAGTTCCTCGTTTCCGAATCTTATATTACCTTCAATTTATGTAAGTAGAAATAACTTAGCTTTGTGGATGGATTCTGGATGGCACTTTCCCTCTTCTGTAGACGTGGACTATAATTTCAGTGATTTTTTAGATAGGCTTGTCTGTATATTCAGTAAGGCATTTTCTTTAATTATAATTAAGTCAAAACATCACAAACTCTGGATTACCAAAGGTATCCGCATATCAACCAAGAATATGCATTCACTACTGTACAACATGAAATTTACTACCAATGTCTTTATCACTAAACAAATCTCCAAGTACAAAGGAACCTATCTAAAACTTATAAAAACAGCTAAAAAAATGTACTATCAAAATTGTCTGTAAAAATGTTGTAAGAAAAACTTAGTCTATAATAAGCGATATTCGAAATAAAACTAACACAGCTCAAACATTTTCTCTTCCAACCCCTGAAAATCTAAATGAATAGTTCGTTATTGTAAGTAAAAAATATAACATCAACTATTTTGCCACAACAAGATCGTATTTTCTATCTCCCCAATTAACAAAGTCGCGAATACATTCTTTATAAGACCAGCCATTATTATTACTCTTCATAAGGGTGGTGAAAAATGGAATGTCTGCCACTATAGACCTATTTCTTTACTACCGGTCCTATCCAAAATTATTGAGAGACTTATAAAAGCCCGACTTATGTCCTTTTTCGTTGAAAACATTTTATCACAAAGTTAGTTCGGCTTTTTATCTAATAAATGTACGACTGATGCTATATTTTCTGTACTACATGAGGTCTATCAAGCACTAAACAATAATCTTTACACTGCTACTGTTTTTTGTGACTATGCCAAATTTTTTTATTATATAAATCACATTTTAATAAAAAAACTAAATTTCTACGGAGTTCGAGGTATTTATTTGAATTGGATCCAAACTTACTTAAGGATTAGGAAACAACTAGTTAGAGCAAATGGTACTGACTACTTACAGAAACATTGTATGTGGAGTACCACAAGGTTTAGTACTAGGTCCTCTACTTTTCCTTATTTTTATAAAATGATATCACTACGTTAAAAATCGATGGACAATTTTTTATTTTTGCTGATGATACCACCTGGAGGAGTTCTAATATTGCAACTTTTCATACAACTATAACTTCTGATCTACTTAAAATAAAAACCTGATTCGACTCTAATTTACTCTTTTAACGTAGATAAGACATAGCATTACCCCATAAAGGAGCTCTTTAACCCTTATCTTAATAGCAGCCAGATCAGCCTGCTGTGCAATAAGATCTGTTTCAAAGGAAATCAATTTAGCATCTTCCAAAATAACATATTTTTCTTTGTTCAGGTCTCATCTTCGATATGGTCTTCCTTTTTGAGGTTCTAGTACAGCTGCCAAATCGGATGTTATTTTTAAATTACAAAAAAGATTACGGTATCTTTTTGGCCTCAGTAGAATAACACATTGCAGAAACTACTTCAAAAATCAATTTGAACTCTTCCCTCTTTATATATTTTAGAAACTGTTAATTCGGAAACACCTACATGTTTTTCCAGCAAGACCTAATCATGACTACTTCACCAGAAATTCAACCTTTGATGTGTATTTACCGATCAAGTCCACCCAGTTAGTAAAGAAATATATATTATAATCGGAAAAAACATTATTTGCAATTTAAATCTACAACTTCTTTCCTTAAGTTCCGTAAATTGACAAATGCCATCTATTTGAAGGACCATATTATTCAGTGATGTTGAATACATTGCCAAAGGATGAACAGGTAGGTATCTTTGATTGTGTTTTGAGCCCTAGTTTCGGTCTCTGATGGTTTTAATCTTGTAACTACTGCTCAGAGAGGAGAGCCTCTCATGTATGGGCTGGATGTTCGATGATTAATGTGTGAGGGCAGGGGGTACTCGTATCGTTTGTAATTTATTTTACGCAGAAGTTTCCTCTCCAGTCCTAGCAGTTGTTGTGTTAGATCGTGATTAAACAGGGCATATATTCAATTACGGGCCTGATGTATGTTTTGTACGTGTGTATCAACGCTCTGTTTGAACAACATTTAAACCTTTTCCCCACTATGTTGCTCATACGCACTCACCGAACTTTTTGCTGTTCTGTTTGAGCTTAAATTGTATTTTACCTCACTACTTTAATTCCTCCTTTTTTAGTTCCACAGGTTTCGTATAATAGAGATTGCGTAGTTTGTTTTGTTGATTCATAATGTTTCTTAATAATTTCGTAGTGTGCGCCAGATATAAGAAACTTCCAGCAGAAATGTAATGGTTCAGATAGTTAAAAGCTGTTACAATCGAAATTACTTTTCGGGAAAGGGTTTTGACATACCAGGACCCAAGTAACTTACACCGTTTACTACTACTGTCAAAATTTCATAGAACGCAACAAACTGATATTTTGAATAATGTTCCTTTGTTTCTAATCTGCTTTTTCTAAATTTCTAACACAAAATTAAAAATCACAATTATGAGACGGAGTTTTAATTCATCCAATTTCTACAATATATTTCAACGAAAGTATTTATTGTTTATAATAAATTTTGTAAAGACAGTGACGTTTTTTAAAACCAAAAAATTTTTAGCAAAGATTCAATAAGAGTTATTCACATTATAATGATTATTCGAGGCGAAAGGCATGGGAGGAAAACTTAGAGATTATCAAAAAACATAACGAAGAAGCCGTACAAGGACTGCATTCTTATTTTATTAAAGAAAATCACTTGACAGACATGGTAAGTATTTTTTAAAAGGGGCATCTATGTTAAACTTTGAAATTTGTATCTATTAAAAATATGTTATACATTAAATAATAATATTCATAATAAGGCTTCATAATCAAAGCTTTGTTATTAAAGTAAAAAATAATAAGAGAGTAAGAATAAAATAAGTAAAAAACTACAGATTCAATCAACTCTAGCCTACATTAAAAAAGGTCAATAATAAAAAATCAATGAAAAAATATAGCATACGTAAAAGCAATAGAAAAAAATAAGAAAAGAAGATGATGATATACCATGCGCCGGAATAAAGTGTTAAACCCCCCTATTATTTTATTTATTTTTCTAGCTCGTAAGTAAAACGCTCGGACAGGTCGATTTTTAAAATAATCATAGTATATTATAGCATCATTAATGTTTTGAACTTTACGCGAATCCTCTTCAGGTGACAGTCATAACTTTGATTTTTTTTAATGGAAAAGAACATCATGTGATATTTCATTTAAAATTGTTTGAAATACTGATTTCAAAAATGTATAATACTTTGGTTCAAAAATTTCAGTATTTAAACTATGCGAGAAAAAGTTTCAATGTACCTACTTACCTCTAAATGTGATCAAAAAACTTACCTAATGATCTTCTTTCGTTGCATAGCAACTAAATTGCTTTTTGACAGCTATCATAAATAAATAATATTAATAACTTTTGTTGCTAAAAGAAATTTGTTGTAATTCATCTTCTGTATAATAGAGAAGTTCCCCTAAATATTATAAAAACTATCAAAAACATCTACCAAAACAACAAAATGGAACTCAGAACAGATGGACAACTTACATACCCCATAGAAATAGGCAGCCGAATAAGACTCATTGAGCATTATGCTCTTCAATTTATAAAGTCAATAATTTATAAACCCTATAAGAACAAAAACGAATGACTGGTTTGACGAAGAATGTCAGATTATAACAGACAGACAAAATATAGCATATATACTAATGCAACAGAAGCACATAACCCGCCAAGCAGAGGAAGAATATAAACAACTACGCAAAGAAGAAAAGAAAACTCACCGAAGAAAAAAGAGAAAATATATGAACAAAGAACTTCACTACGAGAACTAAGTAAATCAACAGAGACAAGGAAATTTTATCAGAAACTGAACAAAAGCAGAAAAGACTCCAATCCGAGATAAGGAAGGAGATAGAGATAAGGAAGGTAATATATTGACAGAACAGCAAGAGATACTAAGTAGATGGACAGAACATTTTACGGAACAACTTGAAGGAGATCGGAGAGAGACGAACCCTGACCATACCATACCATTAGACCAAGCAGACAACAGAGAAAAGACTCCACCAACAATAGCCGAGATTAGAACAGCAGTAGACAAATTAAAGAACAATAAAGCACCGGGATCGGATCAAATAGCATCGGAGCTACTAAAGGAAGGAGGAGATGCACTACAAAAAACAATACATGAATTGATAACAAAGATATGGTCGAATAAACAGCTACCAGCGGAGTGGAATAGCGGTATTATTGTACCATTAGATAAGAAAGGAAATCAGTTAGAATATGGAAAGTACCGTGGAGTCACGCTACTGAAAGTAGCATACAAAATAATGTTCAACGTCATTTATAAAAGACTTAGACCACACGCTGAAAAAATAGTTGGCAAATACCAAAGTGGCTTCTGTAGACAGAAGTCAACAATAGACCAGATATATGTTCTGCGACAGATCCTCGAAAAAACAAATGAATATAACATCGACACACATCATCTCTTCATAGACTTTGAAATCGCATATAACAATATAAACCGAGAATTCTTAATAAAAGCAATGAAAGAATTTAATATACCAACACAACTAATAGAACTGATAAAAGAATCTCTAAAAATAGAAAGTAAAATCCGGATACAAAATGAATTATGGAAACAATAGATGTGAAAAAGTGACTACGCCAGGGAGACGCTCTATCATGCATCTAGTTCAACATCGTACTCGAGAAAATACTGAGGGACACAACAGTCAATAATCGAGGAACAATCATTAATACAAGCGTGCAAGTACTAGCATTTGCAGATGAAGTTGACATAATCGCAAGATCAAGAAAAGAAATGAGAGGCATACAACCAAATAGAACGAACTGCACAAAATAGTGGTCTTAATATCAATTAGACCAAAACGCAGAAATAAGGCAGCCACAAAATATAACAATAGGAGAATACAAGATTGAGGGGTAAAAAAACTTTATATACTTGGGATCCCTACTCACGTCTGATAATAACGTTGCGGAGGAAGTGAAGAGACGAATATTTATTAAAATAAAAATTAAATATAAAAACAAAATGATATATATATATATATATATATATATATATATATATATATATATATATATATATATATATATATATATATACCTCAGAAACAAAAGACAATACAGCCACAGCACAAAGACTACTGGAAACGGCAAAAATAAATTAGTTAATAAGGGGGGTGAGATTATTTAGGCAGAGCACTTGGCAATGAAGAAAGGTGGGAAAATATGGACAAAGGTGAATAGGGATGAAGTACTACTGAAAACAAGCAGTAACCATATCTTGCATGATTTTGAGGAGTTATATCGCAGGCGGTGACTACCAACTGACTACAAAAATGTATGATACTCAATCGCTAAACCTGTACAAGCTGATAAAAGGTTTCCGAATTTGCTGTATAACCTATTTATAACAGACGGCTTATAAAAATAAAAAAAACACAAATGTGTGAAGAGAAGATTAATCAATATTTGTTTTTTTAGTCCAATCGTCAATATCTACAAAACATGGTAAAGCTTACTAAAAGCAGACATCGTAAAGTCGACGCAGATAAAGTGGGCGATGTGTATGACAAATTCATGAACCTACCCTCAGAAGTTAACTGGATACAAAAAGGGTTTAAAACTCCCTCTTACAATCAAAAAGACTGTGGTTCATGTTACGCATTTAGTATTGCTGGGGCCATTCAAGCACAAGTATTCAAGCAGACTCAGCAATTAGTACCATTAAGGTAAGAACTGTTTTTTTATTCTTCTTCGTTACAGGAGTTACATCTTTTAAGGGGCGTCCTAGATTTTTCTTGATTCGGTTTGTAATTTAGTACTTGGTATGTTAGTCATTTTCATTCATTCTCTTTATATATTGCTTTTTGTTGCAAACTAGTCGATATGTTTTCGTGATTTTTCATTTATTTGCGAATCAAATTTATATCCTTTATCATTTAAGTGCTATTCTATGTTCCCACTACTCATACCTTTTATTTAGGACCATCTTGGTTTTTATTTCCTGCATTAAGTCTGTCTTAATGTTATAACAAACAATATATATTTCAGCCAACAACAAATCGTCGACTGTAGTTTACCTTTTGGTAACTATGGATGTGCTGGTGGATCGCTAAGAAATACTTTAAGATATCTTGAAAAAGTTGGAGGCCTGATGGCATACACGGACTACCCATATAAGTCAAGGGTGAGTAGACAACCTGTTATTTTTTCATACGAGTTAATTTTGAATAACAACAACCATGAACATCACTGGTGCTATAATCGTTCCGAAGTCTTCTTCGCCGTTCAGTGCTATCTACCTATGCTATCTGCATTTTGGGTAATACAATGATCAATCTCTTTCATAAAAATGTCCCGTTTAAGCGTCTCCCACCAAATATTGTTTGGCCTTTCTCTCCTACTACTGCTAGGAACTTGCAACTCAATTCATTTCGACATTGAACTCCCCTCTAACATCTTAATTTACGCTCTCTCAAGTTGGCATCAATGCTTATAATATATCCGTTATTAACGATATGTTTTATTATCACTACTTACATTCATTCATATATTAAGTATTCTCATTTGCACATGCATTCTTTTTGTTCTTTATTTTTAACTGCCCAAGATTCAGTTCCGTACAACATAGCTGGTTTTATATCAGTTTTGTAGAATTTTCCTTTCAATTTCATTGGAATCTAGCATAACACACCTTTCGTCTGTGATAAAAAAAAACTAAAATAGGTATTATACATTTTAGAAACAAAGATGCGTGTACGATAAGCACAAAGCATTAGTAAACATTACTTCTTGGGCTGTTTTACCAGCACGTGATGAACGAGCTTTAGAAGTTGCTCTGGCTACAGTTGGACCAGTGGCTGCTTCTATTAACGCCAGTCCTCACACATTTCAACTTTATCAGTAAGTACAACGAATAGTATATTTACTTCTTCTAACTATATATACTATTAAAATAAACTCGAAAACTTAATTTTTTTTACCATTAATGTTATTAGATGGAATAGAAGCTTGGATACTAAAAGTATCGACAATGAATGGATCGATCTTGAACGCCACATACAACTAAAAAGATGTAATAGAAAGATTCAACAAGAACAGGAAGGCTATGAAGACAGTATTTGAGATTATTAAGATGTTCAACAAGCTCCGTAATGGATGTTAGAACTTATAGAGGAGCAAATTGCGATTCGGACCATTTCTTGGTTATATCGAAGGTAAAACAAAGAATATCAATGGTAACAAAAGAGAAAGGCGCCAAACAAAGAAAATGAAACACATCTATGTTTAAAAATCCTAAAAAGAAGAATGAGTACCAGCAGAAAATAAAAGTAATATTAAATAAAAGAGGATAACAAAACAACATTGAAGAAGAATGAAATGTCATTCAAACGACAATTACAAATATGTCAAAGGAAACATTAGGTGAAACCTCAAGCAAAAGTAACGAGGAATGGTTTGACCAAGATTGCCAACAAGTAATAAATAGCAAAAATATAGCTAGACAGAAATGTCTACAAAGGAATTTCCGATTGAATAGAAGGGCATATGAAGAAAAAAGAGAGAATATGTTGTAATGTTAAATAGAAAAATACAACAAATTACAGATTATAATAACAGAAGAGAGACTACAAAACTTTACAAGGAAACCAAGTAATAACCCAAGGATACATGACAGTTTGCAAAGACAAAAATGAAATTGTCATCGAGAGAGAGGAAATAATGAAAAGTTGTTTATGAGCTATTCTCATGTTGAATCAACATGAGAATCTGAAGGTAGACAACCATATATACAAATATGCCTCCAATTTTCCCTACCTAGGCTCAATAATAAATGACAACATCAGTCAAGAAATACAAGAACGGATTCCTAGCGGTAATAAGTGCTTTTATATATACAAAGAGTTAATGAAAAGTAAGTTACTGAATCGTAAGTCTAAGCTTAGAATCTACAAAACAGTAATTAGACCAGTGGTCACATATGGATGTGAAACGTGGATCCTCTCAAGCACTGACGAAAATCAACTGAGAATATTTGAGCGCAAAATACTAAGGAAGGTATTTGGACCAACCCAATGCAGCAATGGTTCGTGGGGAATTAAAATGAATCACGAGCTGGATGAATTAATGCAGAGCGCAGATATTGTTATATTTGTAAAGTCACAGAGACTAAACTGGCTTGGTCACCTAGAAAGAATGCCAGATAATCGAGCTGTAAAAGTAGTCTAGAGATAGAAGCCCCAAGGAAACAGAACAAGAGGAAGGCATCGGTAAAAGATGGATAGACGACGTAGAGAGGGATTTTAAAACCATGAACATCCAATCCCAAAACCCATTTGTGAATCACTTATTTCTTGTTCTAATTTCATGTGGATTCTGTCATGTATGATTTTAAGGACGGTTTTCAATGTGTGGCTCATTAATGAAATTGTCCGATACTCATTGTAGTCTTTAGCATTTGTGATTTTTGGAATCGTTACAAAAGTTGAGAGAAGCCATCCTTTGGGTATGTGTCCCATCTTGTATATGGAGTTAAAAAGGTCTACCAAGACATCCATATTATCTTCATCAATTATCTTCAATAGTTCAATTGGTATTTTATCGGGCCCTGGAGCTTATATACCTTTTGTGTGTTTTGTGGCAACTTACTCTTTATTTCTGGTCCCGTGGACTGGATATAAACACCAGCAAAACCAAGCTAATGATCATCAGCAAGCAAAACATAACTGAAGCAAATCTGTATGTGAAACAAATGAGAATTGAACGTGTCTTACAGTACAACTACTTGGGAACTATAATCAATGAGTCGTGGGACAATACCCAAGAGATTAAATGTCGCATCGGAAAGGCAAAAAGGCCATTCTTGACTAAGACCTCTGTGTTCAATTGCCATGAAATCACCCTAGAAACAAAAATAAGGCTCCTTAAATGTTACGTGTACTCAGTGCTTCTGTATGGAGTAGAAACGTGGACATTGAAGGCAGAAACTCTATCAAATCTTCAGGCTTTTGAGCTATGGTTATACAGAAGGATCCTGAAGATACCATGGATAGACAAAGTCACCAATGAAGAAGTACGCAACTGAGGATTTGGTCAATATCGTGAAGGGCCGTCAATTGTAGTACTTGGGACATATAATAAGAAATCAAGGCAGATATGAGCTACTCCAATGCATTTAGCAAGGTAAAATTGAAGGAAAAAGGGCCCCAGGACGAAGAATATCCTGGCTTGCTAACCTGAGAGCATGGTATATAAAGACCTCAATACAACTATTCCATATAGCAACCAACAAAGTCATCATAGCCAGAATGATCGTTAATGTTCGGAACGGACAGGCACCCTAAGAAAATTGAGAAATTGTCGTGGAACGTCTTATTTTCATCTCGATTTTATAATATTTTAAGACATAAAATTAAATAGGTTAAATCATTCTTTATACTGTTAAAATTTAAGACTGTTAATTAATTTTTGATTGATATAATAAAACATTTTTAGCAATGGAATTTATGACGATCCTTCGTGTTCTTCAGACCACGTCAACCATGCTATGCTGGTAGTAGGCTACACAAGAGACACGTGGATTTTGAAGAATTGGTGGGGCAAACATTGGGGAGAAAATGGTTATATGCGACTACGAAGACACAAAAATCGGTGTGGGATATCAAATTATGCAGCTTATGCTTTGGTTTGAACAATAACAAAAAATATCACTTATTTTATTTAAATTTCATGTGTAATTCTTTTATTTATTTTCTATAGTTAGAACAATGGATTTTAAACAGGTATGAACAACAAAGCCCAAATACATGTGTAGAAATGACAACAATCTGCAGAATATTAACGGGTGAAACAATTCAGATAGTTGCAAAGGACAATTTCTGAAAACAAAGGCGCGTTTGACAACTCAAGTGACAGATTTTACACCAGCTCTGACTAAAACGCATGGGGCTGTGTAAAATATGAAAACTGGTAAAACCAATCAAGATTTTCTCTAAATGGAAAATAGAAAGTGGTCTGAAAATCTAGTGTTCATGAATAAATCACTTAAAAGCAAATAAAAGCGAAAGTGTGTCATGAATCGGGATGGGGTGAGCTTTAGCCAGTCCATAGTCTAGTCTGAGGTGTTTTTAAACGATTTTTTATGATATACCGAACAAAACAAAACTTACAATCTTCAATACAATATAAATTACATTAAGACGTTAACAAAAATCATCCACGCTCTAGAAAACTCACAAAAAACGACAAAATCAGAAACAAAAATTGAATAAAGCAACCAACTAATGGTCTGAAGCTCAACCTAATAAAAATGTATAAAACTATCTACAAACGACTCTTGCCATGGAAACACAACAACTTACCACGCAACTTCAACTTGTGACGCAATACAAAAAGCTGATGAACAATAAATGACATATTTTTTGTTGGTCAGTGTATATTTATATTTAGTAATAACAGTGATTATTTGTTTATCAACATAAAAAAATAGAGAAAACCACTTTATTAGAAAATTAATCACTACATGGAATTCGTTTAAAAAGTATGAGAACATCTCAAAAATTATTTTTAAAAATCACATATTTTAAATTTATTACAACTCATTACAACTCAGTCTTGCCTTCCTTAGCGGAACCACTCCTATCGTAACCCTTAAGTTCGTTGGTAGCGTGTTTGGCTACGTATTTAATGAAGTCGTCAACATCTCGGCCACCCTGTAAGTACAAATCACATTAGATCAATCATAAATTGCCAACCTGTATATTTAAATCAGCTGTCACACAATTAATAATTATGAAAAATCCTTGAATGTCATTCAAATAGTTGTAAAACATTCTTGTGAATCCATTCGGAAAATTGCACTAAAGTATGATTTTATTGTGTGAATTTTCTGAAACCTTAACGAAAATAGATGAATCCACTTGTGTTAAATGGCAACCTTAAACCACAATTGTAGATATGGGAATACTAGAAGCAAATCAAATTTGAATGTCTATCTAAATAGACTATTTTCTAAAAATATATTTCAAAATTATTGTGTAAAAAAAACTGATAATCTGAATTATCTTGACATGGAATAATAAAAATTACTCAGCAAAGAGATGCGAAATAAAATGAGGCTTTTGCAATAGATTTTGGATACTGCTAAATAAATAGAGAAGCATTTATGTATCTAATTAACAAACTGCTCGTTCCTGTTAATCACGTTGGCAATAAAAACGTTCCTAACATCAATAAATATGGAGCTATCAACTTAATGTTTTAGATAATTATTTTGTTTGGCTAATGGCGTCCAACAACAATAGTATTTAAAGCAAAGTAGGCAGATCTCATGTTCCTGTAATAATACTGATCAGATAAACATAATGACTTAGTTTTAAATTACTTAATGAGGTAACAGTGTATTTATTTGCAATAAGATAATAAGAATAATAATTTGCCAACAGTGTTTGAAGAGTTGAGTATGTTGCTTTATCTACAAGTTTGTAATAAAAGAAATGCAAGATAATCAAACTTTATTGTACAGTCTAAGGATTATTTAAACAAACTTAAGTACAACAAATCAGGAAGTGACATCTACTATATTTAATTGGAATTAACCACAATTTTAATTGAAAATAAGTTTATTTTGACCGAAATGGAAATTGAAACATCAAAATAAACATACTTTCAGCTGAAAGTGTAGTTAATTCATATTAAATATAGTAAATAACAGAACTACAGATAACAAGGAAATAGTTTCAGAACCATCTTAATGAAAAATATGTGCCTGTAAACATATTAGTAGAACAACTGGACAGATATAACAGTAAAAAAGTTCACAAGAAAATAGATTGGTTATCGAACATGCTGATAAGGAAATGGTGTCATTGCAAATGCTATTTTTACATTATTTATCAATTGCATAAAATTGAACTTACCTCATAGGTGACAGGAGAGTCTTTGGAATTTTTGGGAACCCAGAAGATTGTTGGGAAACCTCGTACTTCGAAGTTGGATGGAACATCATTGGCTGTGGCATCCATTTTAGCGATGACTACATCTTCGTCTTTGAGCTAAAATAAAAAAAAACAACCAGATATAAGTAACTAATTGTAAGCTTTAAATTTAAAACACAAATATAAAAGACAAAAACTTGAAAAAATATTGCTACAATGATGTATGTTTTAAGTAGGATTCAGAGAATCTTTGGTGAATGACAATACAATTCAGAAATTGTGTTCAAAAATTCAGTTGAGAAATATGGGTTCATTTCTTCACGCCAAAGACGAAGAAATCGGTCAATTATTTAATGGCTATCTCGCTTTACTGGATTGCTGTTATTCTTATTTTTACTGATCTATACACGCATAGATGATTTTTTATCTTTCAGGCTATTTCTGTTACAAAAGCTGTCTGAAAATAGTTTCCTTGGTTTTTCCAGCTGCTCATTTATATCTTACTATTTCTACTACTCTAGTCTGTCATGCCTTTTATATACTGGATCCATTCAGTGTTTATGTTCTTGATCTATTTCTTTATATAGGATGAGCTTTATATATTCGTCCTTAGTCAAACTTAAATCAATTGGAAGACAAATTGCTCAACTGCCCACTGTATTCGTCAGATTTACCTCCGTTTATTTTCCAATTTAAAAAAAAAATAACTTAAAACACCGTTTTGTAACGTACGATGCGTCTAGGATTCAAATTTCACACTAATTTGAAGTTCTCGAGTAAAATTACTTTTCAGATCAGAAAAAAAAGCATTTGAAAGCGTCTGATGAAGTGTATCCAACAAAAAGAAGACTGTCGTCTCAACAACCAAGTGCTCACGCTTTCCCGGATTCTCCCGTCAGAGCCTTAACGCTCGGACCCAAGCTAAACTTCAGTCTGAGACCAAATCTCACAACTTGGTCTTTTTTTCAACTTCATGTTTATTAAATATTTGCTGGTGTAAATCAAACTAAAGATTTAAGTATCGCTGAAGGATCAGAAAACATTGAAATAAATGAATACTCAGAAATAATAGGTATTAGGTGTATTAGTTAGAAATTTTAGAAATAATACTGTGTATACATCTGTCTTTCTTCAATACACTTTCTTCCTATTTATTAAACCATTGAAGGGCAAAGAATATTCAAATAAATTAAGAAGAAATAATCGGATGTGGAGACTGCAAATATCTGCGGTATGCACAGCGATTAGAATAACGAACAAAGTACAAAGAATGGACACTGACAGCATGCCAAGAAAAACTTTGAATTGGATTCATTCGACGAACTTCAAAATGACTTAACATATTGACCAAGGTAAATATTCTGATGAACTATGTATACAAAACATAGACTTATTTATACATAGACTAAGCAGTCTGTAGAACAAACTGACGACACCATCTTTTTGTGGTGTCGTCAGTTTGTTGCCAAAATTGGTTTGTGTTATCTTGAACTGAAAAATGGGTTTCTGTAGAATAGGTAAAATTGAATATAGGGGTGACCAAAGCTTGCATAAATATCCAGAGTGATTTTACAAATTTGTGAAAGGGGATAAATTGGTGATCGAAAAATCAGACTATATAAAAATGAAGGAGAAAAAAAAACAGATTGTTTAGGTTGGGTTAAGATGAAACAAATACGAAAAATCTTACCTTTTCGGCTAGCTCTTCGTAAATGGGTGCAAGTTTCTTGCAATGTCCACACCAAGGAGCATAGAATTCGATCAAAGCATCTTTCGAGTTATCAATCACTTGATCGAAGTTCTTGGCAACTAAAACTTTCAATGGTTCGTCAGTGTTTTCTGGAATTGGCTCAGATTTAAGGTATGGCTCGAGACCACCTTCTAGAACATCACTTACGAATACTTCAAAAGCTTCCAGGCTGTAAAACAAACAGGAATACTTATTTTAGAATATTTTTAGAATTTCTTTAAATAGAACAACATAGAAACTTCGCTTCAAAAATACTTACGAGAATTCTTTAAGAACGAATTTTTGGTTCTTGGCATCCCTAGCACCAACAACTGGTTTGTCTCCTTTCACATAATCCAATCCAAATTCATTTAATTCATGTTGGAATTCGTCATTGGAGCTGATAGCAAAGTTAGCTCTTTCTTGGAATTCTTTGGCAACCTGGAAACATCATATTACCAAGTCAATAAATTTATCATTTGTATATTATTATTTCATTATATATTAGTATGGTTGTTTACCTTCAATATTCTGTTACGCCAGTAGTTGGTACCTTTGGGATTTTTGGCATAATCAACAGAATAGTAAGCAACAAACAAGGGGTTTTCGAATTCTTGTTTGTTATCAGGTTTGCGGTGTCCAACTAGACCATGTCTGACAGATGAAATAAATTTGGAATTAGCATAGAAAAACTGAATAAAAATATTTAAAAAATGTCTTTAAAGTATGCGCAAAAAAGTCTTACATACATATAATTGATTAAATATTGATCATATGATAAAAAAAACATCAAAAATACTCACAAGTTTTTGTTTACAAATGTTTGAATGCTTCCAGCATCAGCAGATCCACTGTATTGAACTTTGCTATCTTCGAATTTGTTTTGCAGATGGGCTGGACGGAACAAGACCAAACCATCTCTATTAAAATACACAAAAATCAAATAATGTCTGTATAAATACATAAAGTAACACATTAACAGCCAAATTAAAATATTTTTTTTATTTCAAGCTCCACGTCGAAAAT